CTAAGAGAAGTCTCTGTCCGATCCACATGCGCCTCTGCAGCGGTCGGCTTTCCCCCATCTCTTAGTTTAAACTAGAGATGGGAGAAAGCCATCCTCTTCTTCCTCAAACTTCTCTGTTCTTTCTCCCATGCCACCCCATCCCCCATCGTAATCCCCTTTTAAATGCACACTTACACCTACCTCTGCTGGGATGCCTGTCAATCGCTACCATGTGGTGTCGAATGGCTAGCTGAAGCTTCTATTTTACTGATAAACTGTTCATTTGTTACCTCATCTTCTCACCCACCCCACATTCGACAGTCTTTCTTTCCCATCTATTGCCTCCTCTCTGACATGTCGATGGGGAGTACCCTTGGGGAAGGACTAACTTCTTTGCTATTTGTCTGTACAGGCCCTAGCACAGTGGGTCCCTGAGTTTGATTATAGTGTTCCAGGTGCTACTGTAATAGAAATAAAATAAAAGAAGATGGGCAAGGGGCAAATTCTGGAACAGGCAGGTGGAAAATGAGGACTTCTGTCTTAATTAAATGAAATAGATGATTTCTGGAAGTTACTGAAATCCCCCATGCTACATTTGGATGAAATATTCCCTGGAGATTATAATGACAGTTCTCTGTGTAACATAAAAGCATAATATTTATCTGTTTAGGGATATCTTATTAGCATGCAATGTGCAAGCTAATGGGCTTTTCTTCCCTGTGTGAATTCTTAGCATCTGTTGTTGAAAACCCCAAACATCTCAAACACGATCTACAAAAACAGCTTGGAAAAACAATGATTCATGAACTCAAATATCACTGAGAAATCCACTATGCCAAAATGAAAGACCCTTAAGTGACTTGCACTTAGATGGAGGAGCTCAGGACAATGCCTAGGGAGCACAACATGGAATAGCATGACAGTGTGTCCAAAAGGCCCAACTCTACAAGCCTTACTCAAGCTAGTAGTCCCACTGATTTAGGTTCACTGCCCTGCAGTAGCAGGGGCAGCTGGGCCCCAGAGGAGATTCACCCACAGCAAAGGCAAGTTGTGATGGCACTGCTGCCCTCCCACAATGATTCCACCAAACAGAGGGCAGCTTTAAGTTATGACTAGGGTTTCATAGTAGCAGCACATGCTACAGCTGCACAGGTGAGGCACTAGATGAATATATCATCTGACCATCAGGTCATGTTTTTCACCAACCAGCACTGCCCACTAATGGGGTTGCATTGGCTCCTTCTGGGATTTGTGGCTGAGCAGGAATTGCGAGCACCTTAAACCTGATGCCTTGCACCCAGCAAGGCCAGCCATAATACAGGGCAGAATCTAGCCAGAGGACAATTTGTTTTTACCAAATGTGAGGTGGCTTGCATCAGATGTTTGTAAGAAAAGGGACTTATTTTTTTCCTAAGTGTTATTCATGTTTTGATAAGAAAGGGATTTTTTTTCTAAGTGTTAATCATACCCTTAAAGGATTTCTTATCCTTTTTTGCCATGTCTTAGCACAAGAAATAAATTTGTCCCAGAAACTTCAAATGAAGTTTCTCAATAATTAATAGTTTTTTGTTAATTTGTTTACGTGTTTTGTTTATTGACTACAGCATTATATGGATTTTACCACCAAGTTACTAATATACACTTGACATTTTACCTCTAGTTTAATGTAAGTTGGTGTTTTCTGTGGTGTTGGGGTTTTTTTATCGTTGGAAATTTACAGTCTGTTTCATTTAGAACACTGAGGAGTAGATTCGTTAAAAAGGATTCTGAGCACTGATAGACTGGGTAAAAGAGAGGCATACAAACCTACCGGCACCAGAGAACATTGATGGAATATAGGGAAGACAATTAGGCTCTGTTAAGGCCACTGTTCAGCAAAGTATTCACGCATGTGCCTAACTTTAAGCATGTGACTAGTCCCACTTACATCAAGTCAATATTCTAGTTCCATTGACTGCAATGGGACTTCTAACATGCTTAAAGTTACACATGTGTAAGCAGCTTAAGGAACTAAGGCCTAAACATGTCAAAATGAATGGTTAAAGCACAATAAATGAGAACATATGGGACAAATGACATCTCCAAGAAGGGACTTTGGTGGCTCTAGTGACTTGTATAACATTTTAGATGCCCGCAAGAACAGCATAGTGCAACTCCATGTGCTACTCATTGCAAAGTATTTTAGTCTCCATCTCATTGTTCAGAACCAATACTTAAAAATTGCTTTTAGTTTCCAATTTGGTTTATTTGGTCAAAATAAGTGAGATTTGCCAGCACACTTTGATTTCATATAGTTAAAGTCAGTGTTTTGCCACTGATGTCCAAGGAAGCATTAGTAGGCCACTACATGTATCTACCTAGAAAGAACATCTGATCAGGTTTGGTCTGATTCACCCAGCTCCATGCTTCATGTAGTCAACACAAAGTTACTAACATGCCATTTGAAACTGAATTGAATGGTGCAGGAATACCATTCATTTCAAAAAGACATTCTGTAGTCAAATGAAAGTAACAAAGTACAATACAGTATGATGCTACATATCTAGATACTGCATACCAAGAATAGTATGGCTGTCAATACAGTTTATGAGAGGAGGTAAAAATAATCCATTCATTTAAAATGTTTCTCCCTGGAATATTCCAAAACTATTCCAGGGAGCAACATTTTAAATAAATGGATTATTTTTACCTCCTCTCATAAACTGTATTGACAGCCATACTATTCTTGGTGTGTATATATATTATTTATGAGGGTTTCAGGGGCTCAACAGCCATACAGTTTTACTCTAGCATACCCCAGGGCAACACAAATGATATACTGCAAAACACTAAATCTAAAATAGCAGACACTATATTAGTTCAGTGTGCAGTGACAAGGTTTTCTAAGATACGGTATTAAAAGTTTCATACAACCAAATGATGAGAGGCAGCATGGTCTAGTGAAGAGAGCCCTAGAGTAGGCATCAGAAGATCTAAGTTCTATGGCTCTGCCACTGTGTGACCTTGGGCATGTCATTTCCCCTCGGTTTCCTCTCCCACCCTTTGGGTGGCTTGTCCATTTAGATTACAAGCTTTTGGAGCAGGGGCTATCTCATATGGTGTATTCACAGAGTGCTGAGCACAATGGTGGCTCCTATCTCAGTATAGTGGCCTTTAGAGGATACTGTAATGCAAACCACCACAACAATGGAGGTGCCTGTTTTGATAGAACAGGAGGCTTATTCTAGGTGGCTAGAGTGCATCTCCAAAAGCCAGCTTCTGTATGTCACTTTGTAGCTCATTTAGATTAATAGACTCCTTTAAACCAAGTACATATTCATAGTCTACACTGAAGAAGTATGATGAGAAATACGTTGGTGTCAAACTATACACATTACTATAATGTTGTAAACGAATGTTGCTGCTTTTGCTCGGAGAGACATGACCAATTATTTCTATTGTAGAGGCCACTTTGTGATTTAAAAAAAAAATCAAGGAGAACTGTATAAAGACTACAATGGAAATGCAATTTTACTGCTCTATTATCAGGAGATAATGAGGTGGTGTCAACATGAATTACCGTGTAATCACCATAGTTTCCAAAGGTGCTGCTGTGAGCTTGCCATGTCATTACTGTGAAAGAGCATGCACTGCAAGCAATTAACTAATGTCAGCACTGTATGTTATAATCATGTTAAGGATATGACCTAAATTGATAAAAGCAAGGAAATTAAGAGACAAAGATGATGTGGCCCTGTCTCAGGGGGACCACAGAACAATGGGTGGCTTTATTCACCATTTCTACCCAGGGATTTTCATCATGTTAGAAAACCTATTAATACACTTTATCTAGAATGATGTCAAAAATGTGTTAGCTGGTCAGGTCATAGTTAACCCTGGGGCACTGCAGGGTTAGCGATGATCAGCTAACATGATTTTAAACATGACTTGTCCTTGTCCATCCTAAAGGTGAAATCAAGTTTAATACCATGTTAGTTAATGTGTTCTAACATGAGGCATTTTTCTTGTATAGACAAGGCCTCAATGCTCCTCTCAGTAGAGCCTGACTTACTAGGGAGGGTTCATGGAGGAGACCTGGGGCAAGGTTTTAAACTCCTCAGATCACCGTGAACTACATGGAAAGGAAGCATTAATGCTAAGGGGATGTCCAGCCATTTTTCCCCAGCCTTGGCAATATGGATCCTTAGGAGCTCTGCTAACATTGTCTCCTCTGCTTGGGCAATGCCAATCTCTGCAAAGGGATTGGAGCAGGACTTAATGTAACTATGAGCATCAGCAACTTCTGCTTAAATAGCCACTGGAATATCCTTGGGGGGTCTGAGAGAAGCTTGCCATAGAGAACACCTGCCCCCTGGCATCAGACTTCCCTGTTTCTGACATGCTTCCTCCCATTCCTGAACTGCACAATCCCATCTACACAGAGGGGTGTCTGCAAGCTCCCAGGCAGCAGAACTGTCAAATGGTCTCTTCTATTTTTCCACATGTTTGCTCCTTTCCAGCCATGTAAGTGGAAAGAAAATTCTTTCCATCGACCTCTACTGTAGCTCATGGATTCAGAATTTCCTTCGTTTTGTGGGAAGGGCAGACCTTTACTGGTATTTCAGGATAGTCCTCAGTATTTACTGTACATCTAAGATAGCTCATTTGTACACACATGAATATGCCATGAATGTCTCCTGTTGTATTTCTCAGGGGATCTGCTACAGAATGGGAATTCTGCTGCATTTGAGCAAAAAAATAACCACACGTTTTAATATATTAGTCAATTGGATAATGCAGAGCTCTAGGGCCAGATTTATAAAGGTATTTAGGTTTAGATTACAGTGGGAGTTAGCCCTTAATAAATCTGGCCCTTAGTGCTTTTCAGTACTATGCCAGACATATTAATATTACTATACAGAGTACTAGAAATAATCTACATCAGAGAACATGGAAAGAAGCATACCCTGAAGTAGAACAATAGCTGTATACTGTGTCACGACTACACACAACATTCAGAGGACATATGTTTTTCAGCTTACCCAAATCTGTAGCTTAATCCTTTTTTCATTTTTGAAAACAGTTTTGACTTTGAAATCGATCCCGACCGTGCTTACAAATGCAGATGTAAAGGAATCATCAGCATAACGGAACAAAAAGGAGGTTTTCCCGACACTGCTGTTGCCAATGATGAGCAATTTGAACATGTAATCAAAGTTCTGGTCAGACGTGTCTTTCTGGCCATATCTGGAATCTTGAGCAGATGCCATCTGTAAATCAAAATAAAAAGGATTTTTTATGGTCTTTTGTACTTTATAAATCAGAGACCTTTATATTTTATTGGATTCCTTGGCAATAGATATCAATGAATTCAAGGACAAGTTCACAGAGACCCTAAGTCTTTCTTATGATGCTGGTATCCATGGTAATAATTCCCACTGCAAAAGATAATGGCAAAAAACTTACAGTATCAGGAAGATGGTACATCAGGGCTAAATATAACTGTTGATCAGTATCAAGAAAACAAAACAAAAAGAAAAGAAAAGAAACCCCAACAAAAGGACCAGGTCAATTTCTGAATATAGTACAAAAAAAAAAAAAAAAAACCCAACAACTCTTTTCACAGAATGTTAAGAATGTGACAACATATTACCATAAAAATACAGAAATTAATCCTGGAGAAAAGTACTATATGTTTCTGTATATAAGAGGGGAAAATAAGGAAGCAATTTGTGTTTTTTTTTTGTGTGTAACTATGCAACGTAGAACACAGGGGTATATTCACTCCTTAATTTTGCAATCCTTGCTTGTGTCATTTTGTGCCATAATCTTAATCTATTTTAGATCCGAAGAAACTGCAGAACCCATTTGATGTAGAAAGGTCACAGTCTTTCGTAATAGCTAGATTCCTACCCAAAGCATTTTGCCACTACCCTTTTCATTATCACAGTGTCTCTCACCCACTCGGTAAATACTTTTGACAAAGTGTCTCTTCCTTTTGTTCCCTTTCAGTCTCTTCTTCTATATGCAGTAATAGAATTTTGGACACAATATTAATGAACTACAGTGTTCATACAGTACAATATTACAGGTGACAAGGGCCTATGTTTTCAAAGAGGGGTCCCTAAAATTAGGCTCATAAATCCACATTTAGACAACTGAATAAATGGGAGTTACAGACCATCAGCACCTCTGAAAATCAGTCCACTTTTATTGATGAGCCTAATTATAGATTTAGGAACCTACAATTAGGCATCCAGGTTTGAAAAATTTTGGCTTACATGACCATTCAGACAAACTCAAAATCTTAAATCTTTAGTTAAGAATGTGAATGAATTACTTACACATTCAGAAGCAACCACATAGTTCATTGTATTATCAGCAGAAAGTCTAAACTAAACTAAATTGTTTATTTGCAGCACCTTTACAAAAATATTACAGCATTTTACAGTAATAGTTCAGTACTCTACAGTTTCCAAATGTGCCACTGTAGTGTTCTGGAAATGTTCTGTAAAATAAATTCAGCAAATAGTAATTCTTTCGACAGAGGAATCAAAAGATATTTCAGATATTACTGTCCTGACCTTGAAAGGGACACTGTCAGGCTTCCTGACTTCCAAACATACTTGTTTGAAAAGTTGTTTTCAATATAGTGGTTTGAATGTGACAGGATTGCTAATGCTACAGAACACACTTTCAATAATCACTACTCTGATGCCTTGCATCAGTCTCCCACTGACATCTCTGCCCACATTCTAGAACACAAGTGATGTACATATTCACAGGTTTGCACATGGGTCATGTAAGACTTCAGAATTATCTTTACTCCTGTTCTTAACCTCCCACTGAAATGACTGACTGGAAAAAGGAAAAATCCTCCTTGGCTTTTAATGCATCAGCCTGAATGTGTGTTTGCACCAGTGCCCTCTACTGGACAGAATCAGAATTACTTAAAAACTTGTAATTGTCACCCCCTTTATTGGATGGCCTAAAGAGAGGATATAGAAAACTCTAATGATTTTATCAAAAGTCTTGAGTCTTTCTCTTAAGGCCCCAAGTCCTGGAGTTAGGTGATTACATGAGAATCCAGCTTTCATATATAAAGAGGTACACTTCTGGAAAAACATGATCAGAGTGTAGCCTAGAGGCTCTAACACCAAAAAGCAAAGAAAAACACTGTTATACATTTATCATTATTTACAGGGCTTAAATTCAACCGCAGCTGTCTGGAGGGGAGCTCTGGTAAATATTTTCAAATCCTCTGGAGTTTTCATAGCATATTGGAAGTGGGGAGGGGAGAAGAGGGACCCCCAGGAAATACTCTATGAGAGTTTAAGCCCTGATTATTTAGAATCTGATGAGTTTTAAGCCAATCACATTATTCTGGGGGCCAGGTATGATTTTTGAATGCTTGGATTTGACAATACAAATTACAGTATACATACATTGTGATTTCAGACAGGAAGGAAAGTCAGCAAACCCTGATGTTGACTGTTTATGGCAAATTTAAAGACACAAGTCAAAATTCACAAACTTGTGTGCCTAGCGTTAGGCACTTGAATCCACATGTAGACACTTCTGTAGGATGGCTGGATCCATAACCTTGCCTAAAGATGCAGGGCTCTCTGTTGACCCACCCTGTTAGCAGGAGTCAGATACCTGCACAAAGCTGCTGAGAAAATTCTGCTGACTCACTTTGAAAATTATGCCTTGTCAACTTCACCAGGGTATTAAAGAGGCAACCCGGGCACCGGGGCTACCGTTTCCTGTAGGATCGTCTACTAACCAGGCTTTGGGAGAAAACAGAACATGAATTTCAGCCTAAGTTATCACTAAAAAAAAACTCCAGCAAAGGGACCTTATATAGCATGTGTAGATCTGTCGCACAGTGGGAATGCCACTGGCTCACAGGTACCTAACTGCCTGATTTTCAGAGCAGCTGAGCACCCGCTGCTCCCATTAACCAAGGTTCTTGAGTAAATGTAAATGTCGGTACCTAACTTTAGGCATGTAAGTTTGAAAATACTGGCTTTAAAACTTATAAAACTTAGTTTGCAGGTGTGTCATGATGAGACTTAATTAGGTAATGTTTAATGACGTTAAGATGAAAAGCAGTAATTATGACTAACAGCACACATCAATAATCTTTCTGATTTCTTTAATAAACACAAACAAAACCTTTACACTTTCATGCCTCCACCTTATCTTAAACGACTAGATTTCTTAGTAAACATATGCAAAAAAGGAAAATCAGATGTTGTTTATCTATTTAATTATAGCTTTATGCTCATTTACAGCTTTTAGCTGTACGTAGTTTACAAGAACATCAAGCCATCACCATTGAAAAAACCATCTGACAAAGCATAAGATATGGCCTGTATGATGTCAATTCACCTTAGGTACTCTGTTCCACACAAAATCCAAAAAAAGCATCACATCTGGCTCCATCTATTGCTGGAATACCAATTGGAATAAATCTGAACCCAATGGTCACTAATTCTAGATCCACAGAAGAGGCATTTTCTTTCTTGACTTTAATCACCTGAGAGTTGTCATCCCCATCCCCACTTAAAGGTATACAGATGTGTTGAGTTGCTCAGTATCGGGGCCGAAGGTCAGGGATCAATCTGAGGCCAGGCCAGGTGAAACTGCAGAGTCAGAGTCCATTAACAAATTGAGAGCAAGAGGCGAGAACTGGGGTCAAGCTGGGACAGGGTCTTTCACCGGCGTCAGCAATGGTTTTAAGCCAGAGACAGTAAACCAGGATCAGGAGCCAAGCCTAGGTTCAGAGTCAGGGATCAAGGCAGTTGCAGCAAGGAACAGCAAGCAGGGTGTAAGGCAGAAGCACACCAGAGGTCTGCATTACTGAGACAACTCCCAGGAATGGTTTCCTGGTTTATATACAGTGTGCCAGCCAATCAGGGAATCACGGAGGGCTGTTGCTCATGCCCCTTTGCATGGGATTTTTTGGACAGCTTAGTCTCTCAATTCCTTTTGGTGGCAATCATACCTGGGTCCCTGGAAGGAAGCAGAGCTGCCATCAAACCCTCCAGACCCCAGTTCTCAGCCCATGGGTTCTTACAGTGGTTGAGTAATAGAAGTTCTGGAGGAGCGACATTCCACTAGAGAATCAGAAGCCTGGAGCATGGGCGGCAGGTGGACCCCACTCTGGGAAGGCTAGCCCTCAGCTTCGCCCCTTATATCCATGGCCTCAGCCACGAGACCCCCTGTGCCCCCGATACACACACATGGCCAGAGAGCCCCCCTCCCCGGCCGGGGTGGCCAAAGCCCCGAGCGGAGGAGCCTGGGGCTGGCTGCAGCTATGCCTCCCCTCCCCGGACCCAACCTGCCCTTCCACCCAAGGGAAAAGCATCTGTAGAAGACGCTTTTTGATATGCCCCATGCAGGTTCCAGGGTGGCTGAGGAGGTAGTATTTGCCTCCTCAGCTGCCCCAGAACCTGCATGGGGCATAATAAAGTGAAAACTTCACCGCCAAACCTCGCAACTGGGGGTCCGGCGGCCATGGCAGCATGGGGAGAGGCAGAGCCTCCCCTGGCCTATTATACCTACCACCCATGGCCTGGAGTACAAGTACTATATATCAGACAGAGTACTGGGCAAACTGGACATATCCATACTAGAATTACACCCCTCTTTTTATTTCTGGAGATTAAGCGTATGCATACTTATTCTAGCTATGCATCTGGAAGGCAAAAGAAATGACTGATTTCCTACTTCTGAGCTTGGCAAATTTGTGGGAAGCATGGGAGGATTACAGAGAATGATACACAGTGCTCCCCTTAATTAACTGCATACTGCTGGGAATTTATGCTCCCAAAAATCTCTGAAGTACAAAATATCCCATTTCTCGAAGTACGACTACACCCCATGAAATACATTTTCTCTCTCCTAGAATTGGTTCCCTTGCTGTTAGGGTTCAGACACATTAGCAGAGGCGTTTGAAGGCATAGCTACTGCCTGTGTTGCTCATGGGGCACTGTTCTGTGGATAATCAAAGAACTTCCATTTCCAGGGATGTTTAGTCAGTGCCAAATACACCAATAGGAAGAAAAAAAGACAAAGAAGATAGTGGCTGTAGCAAATTTGTCTGTTTTCAAAACCTCAACATGCCAAACAGCCTAATGCATTGGTGGGCAACCTGTAGCCCGCAGGCCACATGCGGCCCATCAGGGTCATCTGATTGCAGGCCGCGAGACATTTTGCTGATGTTAACCATCTGCAGGCATGGCCCCCCACAGCTCCCAGTGGC